CCTGCTGAAAAATATGCAGTTTGCTTTTGTCTGTGTTTTCTCCTGAAGGTCATGTTTTTGTATTTACAGAGAAGTCTCCCTGGAACTGAAAGCTGCCACCTGCTAAGTGAACACAGAATACTGAATTCAGGCACCTTGAGTCCTTTGTCCTTCTGGCTCATACGTCCACATTTACTCTCTGCTCATTGAAGGAACACAGGAGCCTGTATAGCACGACTCCCACAGACTGTTCTGTTACTTATTGCAGCTGAAGAGCGCAGCACAAGCCAACGGTTCCTCTCAAAGATGTGCTCCTGGTAGAGACGCAGCTTCAAACAGAAACACGAAGCTGGAACCTCTTCCAGGCTGGCAGGAAACTGCTTCCATCAGTGCACTGTGCTGGAGAGGTCAGCGCTCTCAGCCCTGAGCTGGCTCCTTCCTTGCTCAAGGGAGGCAGCTTGGTCCCACCTGGATCATGCTCGAAACCACAAGGCGCAGAACAAAGAGCATTCGGTGACCACGAGCAGTAGAGGAGCACAGAGCACAAACTGATGTAATGCTGGTGCGTCCCCAGGCAGCCAACCGTCCCGTTCCTGGCTCTGCGGTGCTCCCCGCTAGCCCGGTGCTCGCAGGGCATCCAAGCCATGGCAGCAGGACGACTGTCCTCTGAAGTGACCGCACAAGAGAGAGGAGAACGCGAAGGAGCAGTCTGTGGGGCACGTCTGTGACAGTAAGCCATGCCACACACTTCACCAGGAAGCAAATCCCTCCTTGCTGCAAGCCTTCCTGGCTGGCTTACTGACACAGCCTCCCTTCAACATGCTTTAGGAAAGGAATACAGAAACATCCGTGTTTTCCCCTGGCTAGTGTGCGTGATCTCCAAAGCCAGCTTCGCCTTCTTACCCATCTGGAGGGAAGCACAGGGGCTTAACTTGGGCCGCAGACTTTTCAGCGCACAGAGGATCAGCACACTGAAACTCATCGATGCCACAAAAGGTTAGTTTGGGAATGCATTTAGGGAGAAACAGCTTTCACAGTTCTGAGATCAATCAGCGTAACAAATAAACATATGGTGCAATCAGATGAATGGTAACAGAGCAGTTTTATTAGTACTGCGTGTTCAGAGAACACGGCCATTCATGTAAACTCTGACTGCGTAAAGGGACACACTCAGAGGTGACACACGAGTCCCTTCCCATGTATACCTTAACTAACCTATTTCTATGCCACATTTATTGGCATGACAATCTCAAAAGATGTTAAGACAAAGCATAAAAAAATGGATTAGACAGAGGTATTAGATTACTTCATACCTTCATCTCCTCTTCCATTTCAGAGAGTTTCCGCTCCAGGGCTCGCTTCTCCTATTTGGAAGGATTTGAAACACAGATGATCATGTGGATTTAGAAGAAAAATTCACAGTACATTTTTTTTAAAAAACAAACAAACAAAGCAAACACTCACAGTCTCGTATTTCTATAGGGGCATACACTGCAAAGCATCTCAAATCCTATACCTTGAGAAGCTTAATCAAGGGTTTCAGACAGGCGTAAGGATGCTCAGCTGAGCATCTGAGCAGTGCCATGAGCCCACGGGGCACTTCAGGAACCTGCCTAACTTCAACCTGTGCACTATACGGGGAGGTAAATCACGTGCTTGTAGAGGGTGCTGATGTGCTGTGCCTAATTCTGCTCCGGACCTTTGAATATCTTGAATGTGATCTACTCTGGAATACCCCTAGCAAATCCCCAGAAGAGTTTACATATAAATAATCACAGTCTTTCATGGTAGGAACTTAAACATTTGGTTTGAGAAAGCAAAAAAAAATCTTAAAAATTCAGCTATGAAGCATTTTAGGAGGATCTAACAGCAGTTTTCCAGTACCTATGATCATTTACGACAGTGATTTAACAAGGTTGGCTTAACTTACTGCAAGGTAGGCTTAACTTACTGCAATAATTTGACTGCTCAATTAGGAAGAAGGAGCATCAAACACTCAGATTTCAAGTATAATCACACAACCCAGCTAGTGTTATGTTTTAGTTCCCTTTTGCCTTCTCCATTGAAACAGTCTTTCTATTTATCAGGATGAAAAGACTTTAAAGCACAATGGATCAGCAGTTAGGATTAGCACCACAAAATGTAATTTGTAAGCCTGCAGCTTCTTGTAACAAAAGAAAGAAATTAGATTTAGTTGATCTAAAGGCTAAGCAAAAAAGTCTCAGACCCAGGAAAGGTCAGAACACAATTATCACTGTGCACCACTCCATGAGGCAAAAATACAACTCATCTTTTAATCAGCATTTCCTTCCCAGAAATTACTATGCCCACCACAGCAATATGAGGCAAAGACTGCAGGGATGCTCACCCGTTTTTCCATCTCCAGCATGCTAGATCGGTCAGAAGTTTTCTCCTGTTTCTGCTACACAAAATAAAAGTAGGAAACTGTTAAAACAATTCCCCATGCTAGAACTCACCTTGGCTGGTCATCAGCCAATGCTCATTTTTTCTCAGTCTAAAGAGCCCGCTTTTGCCTTACCTGGGCTGCTTTTTCCAACTTTGATTTGATGTCGGCCAACTCAAGCTGGGCTTCCTGCAGTTTCGATTTAAGTTTTTGATTTTCAGACAGGGCACTTTCATATAACTGCAGAAACAAACAGCATATTTGAATTAACAAAGCTGCTCTTCAACGGACCCTGTCCTGCCCACACTGCTCCAGGTAGACGTGTGTCACCCTCAGTGCTGAACAGACACAGCTGCAGGGTTTGGATTGCTCCTCCCTGTCAGGACGGTAAATGAAGGGCAAACAGGCCCAGTCTGAATGTTCTACTACTGGTTTCACAATTCCCATGAAATAGGAAAAGAGTTGGTCAATTTTACGAATTCTTTAAGCATAGCCAAGAAGCAATGAAAAGTAGGGATTTAATCTAGGTAGGCCAGCAACACCATAAAGAACTGCACTATTCCATACAGAATGTATGTATGTTGAACGTATCTAAATCTATGACTCTACTGTGCTCCCAGCACAGCACACTTTAGGTGCTTTTCTGTGCTTTTACTTCAAAAAGGAAGAAAATTCAGGATAATTTTAGGCCATCCCTAAATAGAAGATGATAATATTTTTCCTTCAGTTGCCTCAAACCAGTAGAATTTCTATTGCTTTGAGAAGACAAATTAGGCAGAGTGCCTGTTTCTGCTGGAGAAACCTGATCATAAAGAAGAGCGGAGAGCTGTTTATCATGCAAGACTTTCAGGTACCATAATTTTTAGTTTAATAACCACTTAACAATTCAGGTCATCTTAATCTGTTTCCTTTTTGCATCCTCTTTACATTGTCCTTTCTGGTCCCTTTGAAAGGCTGATGCATTCAAGAAAGTGTGATTTCCAAAGGCCATGGAAACAGAAACAGGCCTTATGTTGGCTTGGCTGATAGCTCGCAGACTACGTGATTTTTTCATTTGCAATGAATGGAAGATAAAAACAACCTTTTTCTTTCCAAAGACTCTCAGTACAGGTTTCTGCAGCAACAGGCAGCTTCTAAGGTACATGCAGTATCAGTGGTACTTTGAAGTAGTCCTACTTTTTTGTAGTCCCTGTTACTCTCCTCTTCTGTTCTGGCGCTGAGGGAGGCTAAGCGGTTCTCTCTCCGCGCGTAGGCACTGGAGCGGCTGGAAGCGCGATCGCCGTAGGAGGAGTCGCTCGTGGTGGGATTCGTAGCTGCTTCCAACCTAAACGCAAGGACAATTTAGCACCAGGGAGGGACATCAGGGTGGATCATCATTAAAAGACTGGTTGGGTCTCAGGGCTGTGCCGGAGAAGGCAGAGAACAAGCAGTGGGATTGCTGAGAGCACTCTCCACCCTGCAGGGCAGGATGTGGCCAAAAGGAGGGTAGGGAACCACCACCATTTAAAAAGAAAAGAAGAAAAATCCGGTGGGTCTCAGTCCAAACCCCAATAGGGTAGTGATTTTCCATGCATTTCCCATCCTCATGATAGGAAGGGGCCCATTCCCGTAGTACATAAATGGTTTCTCCTCTACAGAGTAGCAGTGAAGTAATTTGGGGAGCAAAGGATGAAGGAAGGACCAACAGTTCAGTCAAGGAAAGAACTGAATGGCCAATTCCAACCGCAGCTTATGCCTTTGGCTTGAAGTACTGGGAACCCCCAAAGCAAACCAATAATACACTGCCCATAAATCTTCAGAAAAAAAAAAAAAGAAAGAAAATTCTTACCTGGAAAGTCTTTCATGCTGAAGGAAGAATTAAAAAAAAAAAAAGAAAAGAAAAAGACAATTAATTACCAGGAGAATTAAACATCGAATTCAAGAACTGCAGAGATACTGCACGGGGGCACTTTCCTATCTCTGATACAAGTAGCATCTTTTCAATTGCTCTAAACTATTTCAGATCTCATTTCTTCTCCTAACCTAAAAATTACTGAACCTTGCTGTTCAAATCCTCCTTTCCAGAACTGAAACCCGTTCCTCAGACCAAAACTAATCTCTATCTTCCTTTCTAAATCAAACATACGCTCTCTGACTTTGATCACTGTTCTATACGTGATGCGGCTGAGACCGATTAACAGACCATGCAAAGACCAAAGCTCTTGGCATATTTGTGTTTAACTCCATTAAATCACAAACGGTCTTTTTTCTTCCTGGCCAAGGAAATGAGAGTTTCATTGCAGCAAGGAGAAAACAGTAGAAGCGACATGTGGAAAGGAGAGGAGCTGGCCAAAATGTTCTCCTTTTCCCTATCCACGGCCAAATCACTGCGGTACAATCCTTAACACCATCTTTGCTGCAGCCCTCTTGTGCTTATAAACCAAAGACCAGCTGGGCCAACTTATACATGGAGTAGGTTAGAGAGAAGTTTTGCTTGGCATAATAACACCCTAAAGGGGCTAGTTGTGGTAAACCACGCTCGTTAATACGAGTTTTCTGGATTGGACAGTGTGATACGGGATACAAGGCACAAATCCATCGCTTCCTTCTCAGCCAGCTTTCCCTCGGTCCAGCAGATGTTCCTGCAGACTTGGAGTCCAGTCTAATGCTTTTGCAGGCCCTTCAGCTGGAAACTGGGGCCAATAGTCCCCTGAGAGTATCTACAAGTGAGTGCAAACCACCATTAAGCTCTACAAGTTATTACTCTAGATGCTTTTTAATAAGTGCAAGAGTCATCACAACAACGACACCACGGGGAACAACAGGCATTAGATTTTTAGCGTCCAGACATGCTCGTGTTGGGCTTCATGTTGTCTAGATACACCACTAAATGTAGTGCTAAACACCTGCTGGGGAGACACACTGCGGCCTGCCCAGTGCCTGCTGAAACAGCAACAGCTAAATCCAAAGCTCACCAGGAAGGAGGACAACCCAGCAGCACGTTCACGCTCCGGCCGTGCCTGCCGGGTCCCCCGCGGGGTCCTCGGGTAGGTCCGGGTGCCAGGGACACGGAGACGCGGAGCCCACGCGCCAGCAGGGAGCCCGGCCGCAGGGTTCACCCTGAGCCTCTCCGCAGCCCCGAGGAAGCCGCTTGCCCTGCGCCGCACGGGTGAGGGGGCAGCAGGAGGGTAACTTAGAATCATAGAATCGTAGAATGCTTAAGGTTGGAAGGGACCTCTAGGGATCACTTAAGTTCCTGTGGAACTTTTGGTGTTTCAGTTTCCGGCCGTTTCCTCTAGTTCTGTCGGTGGCCACCAGTGAAAAGAGGCCGGCCCCATCCTCCTCACTGCCTCCCTTGAGGTACTTCTAGACACTGCTCAGGTCCCCTCTCAGCCTTCTCTTCTCCAGCTGAACAGGCCCAGCTCCCTCAGCCTCTCCTCACAGGGCAGATGTTCCAGGCCCCTGATCATCCTTGTGGCCCTGCGCTGGACTCTCTACAGCAGCTCCACATCTCTCTTATACCTTCCGCCACAGCCGAGCCTGCTGCACTCCACGAGTGGTCTAGGACGTGGTGCAGGAAGCACCAAAAACCCACCTGCTTACAGACTCCGTGCTGAGCAAAACCTTCATGGCAGCAGAAACCAAGCAAGAAAAGCAGAACCCGAGCAGGTCTCAAGCGTGCTCAGGCACTGGCAGGAGGGCGGCAGAATCGTTTTTGTCTTCCCCAATTTTATCCCGTAGGTAGCGAGAGCAGCAGCGCGCTTGTGCAAAGGAAGGCCGGGATAAGAGAATCGTTTCAAATGCAGCTATTGGGGACCACAAAAGATCCAGCAAACCAGATTCTTGAGGTTGTTTAATGACAGCCTTGCTGTGATGGATGCTGAGCTGCAGCTTGACTGCTTGGGGCTGCAGTTATCTCTTGGTAGAAGGTTAGACCAGAAGACCTATCACTTAGCTCCATTCCTCCACCCTGGATAAAGGTTTGATCTAGAAAGCACTGCCTGAACACGAGGTTGCAGCAGCTGGTGGAAACAGCCCTGCTGCAATGAAAGCTGCTGAACAGTTTTCATCAGCAGTCGGTCTTCCCTGTGCTGCTACCTGCAGGGCAGAGAGGGAGATTTACTGACTGGAAAGCAGGTTTTGACTCAATAGTTCCCTGGGTTTTGCATAAAGGCCAGTGTTCAGGCTGATGTTTGAAGGAGCAGTTTATTCCATTCAGCTTTTTTAAAAAATGATGATAGAGGAGGGAAAAAATGCCTGAATGCAGGAAAAAAAAAAGCAGTTTCACTTTCCACCTTCAAAAAAAAGCTCCTTCTAAAAGAGGTGATGTGAAAAGCAGCGGTTCTTAGCAAGAAGAAAGACTTTGAAGCCAGAGGAAATAAGCTAGAAGGGTGACTGAGAACTTGCAAACTCAGGATCCAGTTGTGTCATTCAAGAGAGATCTGATGGAGAGACAGGCCAGTCTTCTCCAACCACCGGTCCTCGTGTAAAGCCACTTCCAAAGGACAAAAATCCAATGTTTAGGCTCAGGAATCATTAACAGCCTCACTGCGCGGCCTGTGTAAATAAGGAAGAAGGTGGCTCCGCTTTGGGATGCCGACCCAGCCCGGCGCACCTGGAAACTTGGGAATCCGAACGTGAAGGTCAAAACTTTCCCGCCTTGACGTCCTGAAAGGAGGCAAACAAAAGCAGAGGCTACCAACGAACGCTGCACAACCTGCTATGCTTAGAAGGAGATGCCGGGAGGCAAGGTGGATGAACAGCAACAATTTATTTTGTTCTTTTTTTTTCTGTTAAAATGACACATTTGGAATTTGGACCGTCAGTTTTACTCAGCCTTTTCTAGCAGCCAGTGTCGAGCCAATATCCTGCTATTCCCAAAAAAAAGAGCACCGAGACCTGACAGAGGATGTGTTTTAAAGGAAATCTTAAAAGTCGAGAGCACCTGGGGCACGTTCAGCAGCTCTCCTGCATGGGGTCAAGACAAATGCAACTCATCCGAGATGGGCTGCAGAAAGAAAGGAGGAAAGGAGCAAATAGCAGCAAACCGGAGTCTCCCATGGGTGCTCTGCTCCTCCTCCTGCACAAGCCGCTTCCTTCTGGGCTCCCTGTTTGGCTCTGATTAAAAGGCCATGCTCCGTATTGGCAGCTTTATTCCCTTTGGAAAACTGGGAGGGTGAAAAGCCCTCAGGTGGGATTTTTGAAATGGGTTTGGAAACACAGGACACCTCCCAGAAAACAACAACAAAACCAACCTGCAAAGCTTTCGCAGCGATTGGAAATGCAGTAAATTGCAATTCAACCCAAATCCTGCATGCAAGGGTTAAGAGAAAACGCGGCCCCGAAAGGCAGGGCCAAGAGGAGGCTCAGCCGCCTCCCCAGCGCCAAGTCGCAGAAGGGGCCTAATCGCTTTCAGTTGCGTTTTTCTGTGGCTAGGATCCGACCCAGCAAAGACGGGAGAAGTCAACTGTTTACAGCTTTATTCTCCAAAAAAATAATAATAAATAAATAAATAAAAGCAGCTTTGGGAACATTTTATGCTTCTTCATCTGGCCAACCTTGGGAAATTGTGCACTATTTTAAGACAGTTCTCGGGGCATTTATTTTGGTGTGTTTTGCTCCAGAGATCGACGCTCCCAGTTAAATAACCACCGTTTAACGGGATGCTTCCCGCTCTGCTCCTAACCAAAGGTGGAAGTTTTAGGGACCTCTCGAATTCTGCTCTTCTGTTGGCAAATAACCTCTTGGTGAGTCCCGTTTGTTTAAGAAATTAAACGTAAAATAAAGCCAGCTGCTTGTCGGGTCGGTTTTTGCCCACATCTGTGCAAAAAGGCGGCCGATGCAGGGGGAAGCGGCTTGCCAAGAAGTCGCCGCGTTCCTCTCGTCGCGCGGCCTCCCGGCTCCTGCACCCGCCGAAGGTTTCTGCACTTGGCCCCACTGCTGTAGAGCAGCTATAAGAAGGACAAGCTCCCCCGTGGGTTGTGTTGTAAGAGCTCAAAGTCTTATGGCAGCTGCAAGGGAAGAGCTGGAGCGGGGAGGAAGGCCCCCTGCTCCACATTCAAGCCCTCGGACAGGTGGATGAACCCTCCTGGCAGACACAAATCAGATCGGTATTTCACGGTTCTTCAACCCAGATATTTTCAGGCTCAGGTTTTCTGGTGCCTGGAAAAGTTTGCCTTTTAATCGGGTACAAACGTAATTAGTAGATTTGCTCTGACTTTTGGAATCGATAGCGGGTTTTGAGGTTGCTGCCTCCCTGGGAAAGCTGCCCTGCTGCTGTTTGCTATAGCTGAGGTGACAAATGTTGCTGGCTCCCACGTAAAGTTTGTATTTGTGCAAACCCCAGGATTACAAGCCCTGTCCATATAATTAACGAACCAGCCTAGCCAAACCACCTCCACCTAAAAGCTTCCACTCTTCAAAGCCCAGCGCAAACTGTGCTTGCGCAAACTGTAAATCAATAAAATGTAATGCAAACTGCTCTCGCTGAAGCGTAATATTAAAAGAAGGAAGAGCGGCTTTGGCAGCTGGCTGCAGCGGGGATCACGTTGTTTGCCATTAGCATAGCCCTGATTTAATGGGAACCAAAGCCCTGGGGCTCTCCGGAAGCGGCGACCGCCTCTCCTGCGATCCCAGACACATCTCAACATTTTGCAGCTTGACAGGGGTTTGTGTTAGCGCCAGCCCGGGCCCCTCGCACAGGGCCCTTCGGCTTCGCAGCAGCTGCACTTTATTACCGCCGTCTCTCGGGGATAAAAACCAACCCTCCATGTAAAACGACAGGCTGGACTGCATTTTCATTTAGCCAAGGCCACCATTCACAAACCTGAATGTTGCTCTCAGTTCTCCCCCTTTTTTAAGAGATC